GGTGTATGACCAGACATAGAGAGAACGAACAAGAGGAAAGAAAGTTCATTTAAGTGGAGAAAGTTTTGTTTGTTTTTATTACATAGAGCGTCATATTTACGTAGCTAGCATTGTGCACCTAAATGTAACTCTTGACATAATATAGATATAGTATAGAACCGGGCCGCCCCTCCCTACACGCAGATCACATTGGCCCCGTCTCAGGTCGGTTAAATGAAATCCTTGCTTCCCTCACTTGCGTCATTTCCCTGTGTTTAGTCCCTCCCTCCAGGGAAGCATGGAGGGACGCAAGGAAACCACGAGAAGCAGGGAAATGAGTTTTAAGAGCAATGGGACGTCCTTTCCTCCGGAGCGTCACGTGAAGCGACGTCCGTTTGTGATGACGCCGCACAGCTGTTCGTCTGACAGCAGCTCTGTCCCCGTTATTTTCACAAACACCCCTGCCACACATTTACTGACACAAACATTTGTATCATCTGTTGTAGACCCCAATAAATAAAAGCAAATAAGAACTCATTCTCAAAAAAGATAAACGCCATTCTTAAAATGTATAAACGAACAATAGTTTGATTAATATTGATTAGAGTGCACAATAGAAATACAATAATTGAGAGAAGAAAAAGAGATATGTTATCTATCAAAACCCAGTTAGATTAACATTCGTTGGATTGCACACTTTGTTTGTTTGTGTGGATATGTAGCACATTAACATTTTAATAGCACTTAATGACTGACTGAATGGAAATGACAGTAAATGAAAATATAAAACGAAAAAAGCGATCATGAAAATGTTTCCAATAAATAAAGAAAATGATTTTTGACCACTTTGTTGTTCAGATATATCACATATTTGTAACTAAATGATACATGAATTGAAACAAAACACAGTTTAAACTGAGGAGTGACTCTCGTGAGTTTCATTTATTTTCTTCACTCCGCTGGGGTACTGCTCTCGTGTCAAGAACAAGAAGCATGAGATCAGTGCATGCACTGCATCGTCCAATCAGTGAGCGATACACAGTAAGGGGGAGGGGCGAGTATCTGAGGATTTCATCGGAGGATGGACTGGTGGTTCCTCGATTATCGCTCCTCCATTATCGCTCATCGCTCCTCAATCTTCGGTCCTCCGGCAGAAATAAGAGCCATGGCAGACAAATCAACTTCCGGTGAGACCGAGGAGCGAGTAAATGAAAATAGTCGACCTGAGACAGGACCCCAGGACATATGATGAACGTTAGCACCCAATATGAGTAGGAAGGGTTTATAATTATGTTTTTGTTATTGGTATTTAAACTGATAACAACAAGAGAAAAAATATATATGGTCAAATGAAATGTGGAATATTTATACAAACTGATCCACATTATCCACTACTACACCTTATTAGACAGAAATACATCTTGAATACAGAAAGGTGGCGGTAATGCACCTTTAACGCTTTTTACCAGCCGCCATTACGCCGTAAAAAGAAGACGACGAAGAAGAAGAAGAAGTTTACAGCAGTGGGCGTGGCTTGTGTTCGGATGACGTCACTAGTGGACAGTCCACACACAGCATGATGGCGGCAGCAGCGGTAGCGGTGGAGCGGGGCGGAGGAACTGGAGGAACCGGAGCACCGGGAGGACCGTCTCCTGCTGGAGCCTCTGCCCGGGCTGAAGGCTCCTCTCCCCGGCCTGGCTCTGCGGGTTTCTCGGTGCTGGTGGTTGTCGGGTCTATGCGGACCAACGGGCTTCTGGAGCCGCTGTTGAAGCAGATAGAGACCGGTGAGTATCAGACACCCTTTCAAAATAGAAGTCCTCCTGTGTACTGTACTAACGTTTTTTTTTTATTATTACTGATTAATATGTAATATTCCATTCCTCTCATACTTATGTATATATAATATCCTGCTTTATATTTTGTTACTTAACATTTGTAATTCAACATGTATATGTGCTACTTCTTTTTTAATGCTATTTTATTTCTATTGCGATGTTTACAAAATACACACACACACACACACACACACACACACACACACACACACACTCACTAACACGAGTCTTTAAAAATACACATCTTTAGGAGGTTACAGGAGAATGCATGTTATGATTGTGATTTCAGGAGGTTAATTTAACCTGAGTGAATGTTCCAGATGTTATAGAATCTTCAGATTTGTAGAATATTATTAAAGATATTCCAGGGAAACCAACTCAAATATAGTTTAGAGAGAAGGGCCCTCATCTTTAGTCCTAGAGTAAGGACAGTATATCATCTTTTACAGCAGCAGTAGGTAGTGTTTTGATTCGTAGACCTAAATTCAAAAGGGTCTCCATTCAGTCTGTTTTTGGTGAGTTTTCTGCCACTATTCCCAAAGTTAGTGGTCGGTTTTCTGATATGTAATGGCTTGTTTTCTGTGTGATTTTGACCACATTTTCCGTTTATCCGTTATTTCCTAGCAGCAAAAGTAAGGACATTATATAATCTTTAACTAGAAGCAGTAGGTAGTGTTTTGATTCGTAGACCTAAAGACAGTGGGTCCATATATTGTGTTTTAATGAGAGAGAGACAGATGTTTATTAGTATTAATCTCTGTATCTCTCTCTCTCTCTCTCTCTCTCTGTCTCTCTCTCTCTCTGTCTGTCTGTCTTTCACACCAAGTACTTTGCCGTACTGTTTACTAAACGTCTTATCCTTACATAATTAAAGTCCCTATTCTCCATATTTCTACCCAGTGTTTAACACAAAGTCTTAAAGTAAACATGTGCGGATAGTCTCCTCTGGTTAGTGACGTTTAAACCGGGAAAATAACACTTTATAAAATATAAAACGATGGATGGAAGACACGAGATTAGCATGCTAAGCTAACATAGCTCCATCTTGTTCCCTCTGTTTACGTCTTTATTCCTTCAAATTAAAAGTCTGCTTTATCTATTAAACACGTGAAGGAAACACAAAGGACATATTCCACCATGAGAGGAACCAGTGTGTTTCTGCCATGTGTTTTTAGGGTTACATTTAGACTTTACAGCCGGCATGATTCGGGACATCCTGTCCTCCAGGGTTCATGTTTTTATTTTGAAAATCCCTCCCCACCGGATGTTTTTTATTTTGTGGAGCTTGACTGTTTTACATTTGGTTCCTGTTTTGAAGTAGGTTAACAGTCAAAAACTCAGTAAAAGTTTAATGATGCAGCAGGCTGTGTTTTATCTCTATAACTGCATTATGATAATATACCAACAAGGTTTATTTTAGTGTTTAATATATATACAAACCGCAGATTGTTTTAAGAGCTGCAAACTTTTACAGGTCATAACTTCTGAACACATTGAAACATAAACCACAGACAGAAGTGAACACACCCTGATGACTGAACACTAACTGTGTTTGTTCATCATGTGGGTTCAGAAACATTCTCTATATCTGCAGGCTGTGTTACAGTAATTACAGTCAGGCGTCTGGGCTGGTCTGTTTTTCAGCTGTTATTCAGTCAGTTTCTTGAGAGGTTAAGGTCAGCTTTCTGTCAGTCTTCTAAAAGTTTACGGTCAGTTTTCTGTCAACTTTCTAGGATTTTAAGGTCAGTTTTCAGTCAATTTTCTAAGATCTTACAGTTGGTTGTCAGTCAATTTTGTGATAGTTCAAGGTCAGGTTTTAGCTGCTTATCTGGTAGTTAATGTTCATTTCTTGCACTTCTTCAGAGAGTTTTTTAAGCCTGTTTTTCAGATTTTGTTTTGTAGGTTTTCAGTCATTTTGTGATATTTTAGGGTGAGTTTTCTGTCAGTTTTCTCCAAGACCTCCGTGAGTCTGAGTCCCTCACCCTGTTCCAGTCCCGCCTCAAAACCCACCTCTTCAACTCCATAAGCCCCCCNCCCCCCCCCCTCTCAACCAACTTCCTCCTGACTGCTTTTCTGTTTTGGTTTGTTTGTTTGTTTATTTTTTATTTTGTTTTGGTTTTGTTTGTCTACCCTCCTCCCCAAATGTAAAGGGTCTTTGGGTTCAAGAAAAGCGCTATAGAAATATAATTTTGTATTATTATTATTATTAGTTTTCTGAGAGTTTTTGGTTATTGTTCAGTCTGTTTTTGGTCAGTTTTCTGATAGTTCTCAGTACGTTTTCTGAGAGTTTATGGTCATTGTTTTTGTCCCAATTTCTGTAGATCTTTGGCTTGTTTTCTGTGTGATTTTGGCCAATTTTCCATTTGTCTTTGGCCTGTTTTTTCAGATAGTTTTTATGTGAGATCCTGGCTGGTGTCCTGGCCAGTTTTCTGTCATTTTGTGTTTTCTGCTAGTTTTAAGCCAGTTTTTAGTCCGTTTTTTTCAGGCTGTTGTCTGTTTGTATTCAGTATTGTGTTTTTCTTAATTTTCTGTGAGCTGACACACAAAGAGGAAGTTACTAACTCTGTTTCACTTCCTGCTGAGGAGGAAACAGCATGTGATGATAGGAGGAAACATGGAGGAGGTCTCACTCTGATGGAGTTTTCTGTAATGGATGTTGCTGATGGATTCACCACACAGCAACATCCCATAATAATGTGAACACAGGAAGTGAGAGCTGGCGGTTGGACACACTGAGGTTGTTTATATCTGATCATCTGATTTCTTGAAGTGTCACATGATCGATTATATACAGTCTCACTGATCAACCTGATTGTGTTCACAGCTGGAGAGAAGACAGCATAGACTCATTCAGAATTGTATTACTAACAATAATCAGGACTTTACAGACTCAACATAAAAACATCTTCCTTGAGTTATGAGTTCAGATGAATGGAGCGTGTAGTTTGGAGTCATCACACATTTTGAGTTTGACCTGGTAAATGTGCTGTCGTTCCTTTATAGCCCAACATTAGCCTCCTTTAGCTTAGCGGTGGTGACGTGAAGTCATGTGACCGTGCTGTAGTTCCTTTATAGCCCAACATTAGCCTCCTTTAGCTTAGCGGTGGTGACGTGAAGTCATGTGACCGTGCTGTAGTTCCTTTATAGCCCAACATTAGCCTCCTTTAGCTTAGCGGTGGTGACGTGAAGTCATGTGACCGTGCTGTAGTTCCTTTATAGCCCAACATTAGCCACCTTTAGCTTAGCGGTGGTGACGTGAAGTCATGTGACCGTGCTGTAGTTCCTTTATAGCCCAACATTAGCCTCCTTTAGCTTAGCGGTGGTGACGTGAAGTCATGTGACCGTGCTGTAGTTCCTTTATAGCCCAACATTAGCCTCCTTTAGCTTAGCGGTGGTGACGTGAAGTCATGTGACCGTGCTGTAGTTCCTTTATAGCCCAACATTAGCC